GAGAACATTCCTAAAACTAAAGATGACCATAGATTATGGATAAAGCAGCTGAAGTAGCCAAAAATATAGTGGGGACGATGAAACAGCAGTTACTTATCTGATAGTTATGTTTTGCCAAAATATAGTCGTTCATCAACATGATCAAGCTAACCGAATCTTTGTCCAAACGGTGTTATTTGAGGCTGATCTTGGCTGTTGTTAACATCTGCACGAGGAATGGCTCGACCTGGAGGCACGTGAGAGCGCGAAGCACTTCCTCCCCTTGCCGAAGGACCACTCGCTGGATGGCCGCGATCTGTAGCGTTTTGATTACGTGGCTGGTTTACTTTTAAAGTAGGGAAGAGGAATCCTCTTCCTCCATGAAAAATTCTATGAAAAGTGAGCAATCAGATGGAAATTGAAGATATATGTGTATTGTGCTGAACATTTTTCAAAACACTCATAATATAACTGAAGATCGTCGAACAGTTCTTCAAATGAAAGTTTAGCAGTGGCAGATAAAAAGTAAATGATGAGTGTGTTCCAAGAGCAATAAGAATAACAAGCGCGCTTTATTCCTAATAATCCACACGCCTGTAGGGCATTGCAGAAACAAGCTTGCCATAATCTAGAGTACCGACTAATTTAATTACAATTTTTGACGATAAAATAACAAAAAAATGCTATACGTACTCCAAGGTTTCACTGGTGTCCAAGCACCAGAGCTTGATTTGTGAGGGCCACTGGTCCCATCAGCATTTCCTCCACCTCCATACGCAGCTCCAGTAGCAACACTTGCACGTTCAGCGTGGGAAAGAGATGACATAGCTTTCGACGAGTTAATGTTATGTTGAAGGCGCTAAAAAGATCACGACACTGCTTAAAACATTTACTTCATGTATTGAAAGTGATTTCTTCTACAAATAGGGAACAATATCATTGTTAGTAAACGTAAAAGTCATCCCTTAGCTTACTGCTTTTTAACGCCTGACTTATTCAAGACAGAAAAGTGCCTTCGTTGGTAGCTGAAACCACAATTCTTCAATACTCCAAGGACTATGGTTTTAGCTACCATTCTAAGCGTTTCAATTTCATTTTTGTAAGTTTTCACAACTTAGAAGCAAAAGAAAAAAATAATTCAGAATTTTAAACCTAAAGTTAGAATGTCAAAGCACTTTTTCTTAAATGGGGACGTCAGGTACGATTCAAATGTTTTTTCAGAGGTCAGAAGAGGCTCAATTAGCGACTATAGTTATGTAAAAAAAA